AAATGGAGCTGGGAATGCAGCTCAGGAACACTCACCTGGGAACATCAAAGGGAGCCTGAAACGGGCAAAAAATGAGGGAGAATTTTGCTAAGACTTGGGGTTTTCTGGTGGTTGGAGGGCAGGGGAGCTCTGTTTACTACAATCAACAGCTTTGTTTGGAAGGAAATAAAAAAATCAACTACTCAGAATTTGACTCCTTGTCCTTCCCAACCTTCCTCTTGCTCTGCTGCCTCAAGCAGAGGGGCTCAGCCACCCTCCAGAGCCCTTCTGGAAGGGTTTATGGGCTTTTTTTAAAAAGGAATAAAGGAAAACACAATATTTTAAAAAGCTTGGAAAAGACCCCTAAGATCATCAAGTCCAACCAGCCATCCACCATCACCACGTTCATCACTGAAGCACGTCCTGAAGTGCCACATCCCCGTGGTTTTGGAACACTTGCAGGGATGGAGACTCCACCACTGCCCTGGGCAGCTGTGCCAATGTGTGACCACCCTTTCCAAGAAGGCATTTTTCTTAATATCCAATCTAAACCTCCCCTGGCACGACTTGAGGTGATTCCCTCTCATCCTGACTCGTGCTTGAGCTCTATGGGCAGTCTGGAAACATCTTGAGCTCCCTGAATTTTGATTTTTCTTTTTTTTATTCCCCCCGCCCCCCCCTTCAAAAACCTTCCCATTCTTCTGGGTCATTTCCATGGAAGCCCCTCAGGGTTTTGGTTGGTTTGTTGCAGTGTGAGATTTCCACTGAGATTTTAAATGTAATCCCGAGGTGTTTATTGGAAATATGTAAATACAGAAGTGTTTAAAATAAAACAGGTTTAAAATAAAAACGTGAGCCCAACAAACTCCACGAGGAAAATGCCAAACCCAAACCAAGGAGCTGAAAATAAAATGTCGTTTTTCTTGGCTTTGCCCATCTGATCAATATTCCTGTGCAGTGTTTTGCATACAGTGATAAAGAATCCGCATTTAGAGAGTTTTATGCCGTCAGACTTGCTTGTCTGATGGCAAATGACAAGTTACCACCTTCCCCCAGCTCTAATATTGGCTGGGTTAAGATGTGCTTGGGTTTTTTTAGTACTTTCAGGACTTAAACTGGGCTTTGCTCTTTCCTGGCAGATTCCACACTTCAAAGAGCGAATTTTGTCCTCAGGGTTTTCCAGACCAGGCAAAGGTTGTCAGTAAAATGAAGGATCCAAAGGAAGGTGCAGCACAGTGAGCAAACCGTGAGTTACTTTGGGGCATCAGCCAGAGCTTTGAGGACCAGCCAGGGAAGGAAAACCAAACCCCTCTGTCTTGACTGGGTGCAGAGGAAGGTGTTGGTCCTGCTGGGGAGGACAAGCTGCATGTCCTGACCCCACCTTGGAATTGTTAAGGTTGGGAAAGACCTCTGAGCTCAAGTCCAACTGTCAAGCCAGCACCACCACCATGTTCACCGCTAAACCACGTCCTCCAGTGCCACATCCACACCTTTTTGGACACCTGCAGGGATGGGGACTCCAGCACTTCCCTGAGCAGCCTGTTCTGGTGCTTTACAGCCCCTTCCCTCAAGAAATGTTCCCAATATCCAACCTGAGCCTCCCCTGGAGCATCTTGAGGCCGTTCCCTCTCCTCCTGTCCCTGTTCCCTGGGAGCAGAGCCTGACCCCCCCCGGCTCCCCCCTCCTGTCAGGGATTGCAGAGCCAGAAGGTCCCCCCTGAGCCTCCTTTTCTCCAGGCTGAGCCCCCCCAGCTCCCTCAGCTGCTCCTGCTGCTCCAGCCCCTTCCCTGGACACCTCCAGCCCCTCCACGTCCTTCTTGTCATGAGGGGCCCAAAACTGACCCCAGGATTCGAGGTGTGGCCCCACCAGGAGAGTCTGAAACCTTTGACTTCAGCAGGAACAAGGTGGGACCAGGATCTTCTGGCAGAAGGGAAGAAAGAGAAGATTTGGTGTTTAAAACCAGTAGTTTTTAAATCAGGAGACAAGGCTGTGTTGGAGGAGAGGCAAACCCTCGGTGTGCCCCCCAAGAGCCGCTCTGCCACTCTGGGGCCAGCACTGGCCATTAATGGTTTGCCTGTTTTATGTTGCAGCCAGGCTGGGGGAAGAGCTTTTAAATGCATATTTTCCTCTTGAAAATATCAAACCCAGTGTTTTCATTTTCGGGGGCCTGGGGGGAAAAAAAAATTTTATGTTTCATATTTTCCAAATAAACAGTGCTTTTACAGAGGCAGAAATGCAGACCCTGAGCACCCAGCACACCTTTGCCCCTCACAGTATTTTCAAAGCTTTAATGTTGCTTGTGTGCCACAAGCCCTGCTAGTGAAAATATTCACCTGAAATGTATTTATCTTCCTTTTGCTAATTAACAGCAAAATGACACAGAGGAACTCTATATTTTCCTCGGCAAGAACAGCCATAGAGGCTTCATTTATGGAGGGCTCTGAATGATCCCTATTCATGGCAAGGAAGTACTGTCTGCACCAAGAGATCCTTGTCTGCAGGGCAGAGTGACAGAGCAAACTCATCATGGACAGTTCTGGGGCAAATCTTCCCAAATTTTAGGCCCTTGTTTCACTTTGTTCCCTGGTAGCTGGAAATGTAGGGGTGTAGGTGTTCTGCATATCTGGGGAGAAAATGTAGCTCTGTGAAGAAAAACACACAGGGATAGCAGTGAGTAAAGTGTATATATATATATATTTATATGGATTTATATATATTAGCACTCATCAAAATCCATGGTTTTATAAACACATCCATGAAAGGCTTGAATAGAGGAGTCATGTGCCTGTATGTGTGCCTGCATGTAAATATACATCGTTATTTTTATACATATATATAAAAATATAAACACATCAGTGTAATCACATTCATCACAGACTGGTCGGGGTTGGAAGGGACTTTGAAAGGTAATTCCAACCCCTCTGCCAGGGGCAGGGACATCTTCCACTGGCCCAGCTTGCTCCAACCTGGCCTTGGACACTTCCAGGGATCCAGGGGCAGCCACAGCTTCTCTGGGCAACCTGTGCCAGGGCCTGCCCAACCTCACAGCCAGGAATTCCTTCCCAATATCCCATCTAACCCTGTTTTCCTTCAGTGTGAAGCCATTCCCCCTTGTCCTGGCTCTCCAAGCCCTTCTAAAATTTCCCTCCATCTTCCTTGTAGCTCCTTCAGGCCCTGCAAGGCCACGCTGAGGTCACCTTGGAGCTTCTCTTGTCTTCTCAACAATCCCAATTCTCCCAGCCCTTCCTTCCAGCAGAGCTTCCCCATCCCTCCTCTGGAACATTCGCTCCTTCTGGGCTAAAAATTTTCCATGCAGAGCTGGTTGAAAGGCTGTGATTGATGGTTTGTACCTGGGAAGGCCGTGGGACAAAGCCATGCTGGTTTTGCATGAGGACCTCGCCATCTTTCAATATTTTAATGAACACTTTGAATGTTGTTGAAAGAGTTCAGAGCAGCCTGGCAGCTGCACTAAGGACAGGTCCTTTTTTTCCCTAATCAAAGAGCTTTTCTCCACGGGAGCTCTTGGGCTCTGTTGAAGAGCTTTTGGAGTAAAGAGAGGCTTTGGATAAGGGAAGAGAAACTGGGCT